CCACCCCACCAGAATTTAGCACTACCAGGTTGCGTTGCCTCATCCTTCATCACTACTCAGCATCCACTAGGTAGGTTTTCTGCTCTTGTCATTCCTAAAAGCACAGACCCCACTTTCTTCTTCTTGAATTCTACTCTGATGGTCCTAACTTGCTTCTCCTGACTGAATAAGACCTCAGTGAATCACAACCCCTTTCCCTTCTTATGGTTAAGTATTTTTTGCTCTATTTCACAAATAAAACAGCTGAACACCAAGACTTTATCCTTTGGGAATCATGTTTTATGTGTGAGTCAGAATTGGAATGCATATTTGTTTGAGACCAGTTTTTAAACCATATCACACTGGTTCTGTTGGTGATCTTTCTCTCCCATGGTTTAATAGTCATCACTCTAGCACCCACATCTCCACTGAAATATGAATGCTTGCAGGTCCAATTTCTTCATTAAGTAAGCTCCCTGAAGATAGCAGCTTTTGCTGTATCCTAGGATGCTCCCTGTTTAGACTGGGGGCCTGGAAAGCACTGTTTTTTGACTTACTCAAACTAATCAAGTTGCTCTAAGCAATCATACTTATTAAGGTGAATGGAAGGGAAAAACCTTTGGAAATATGGGCATGATTCCCATCCATTTTATCTCTTAGAGTCACTCTGACAGTCATTTTAATGCTTGCATATGCAAATACAAGTCAAAAAGAAAGTCGACTGTATAGTTCTTTCTCCACATTGAACTCCTCAATCTTTGCTTTGTCATAAAGCCCTACAATGTATATAGATTTCCCTAAGATATTTAATTTAATCTGTTTTGAAAGCCTGGGATACTCAAAATGAAAGTTCTTAAATCAAACAATTGTTTCCATTGTCTTCCTGACAACCACTCTGATGTCTTCTCATACACACCACAACCCACCGAATCGATGATTATCACTCGCGGCAAACTTGCAGGATCAGTGATTCCAGCCACACTGGTTAAATGGCTCTTGGCCTTTTCTCTGTCTTGCCATGGGTCCCTGGATCCTTCTTTGGCTGCTGTCATCACCATTACCCTTCTTAGAGCTTGGCCAATTGGTTTTTTTTTATTGTTTCATGACTTTGTGAAAATATTTTTCCTCTCTTTTTAAAATTTGAAATCTTGTTTTACATGTCAATCCCAGTTCCCTCTCCCTCCCCTCCTCCCCTACCCCCACCCACCCCCCTATTCCATCCCCTTTCTCTTCCTTATGGAGGGTGAGGTCAATGTTTTATTTAGTCACAGGGAAACAAAAATGGTGGTCCACAAAAGAAAAAAAAATACTATCAAAGCTCAAGTTTTCAATGATAATGAACCACAGAAACTTTCTTATGATAGAAGAATAAGTAAGTTGAATTTATGTTCTAACTGCATTGTAATAAATACCAGAAATAGCTATGGTGAGAAACAAAGATCTTCACTTCATAATAAGATTACTGAAGACTAAGAGTAGCAAAGGTGAGGCAGTTTATTTTACAAATTTTCCAAGTTGTCTGTTAGCCTCAGAGGGCAGGAGTGTGAGGACAATATAACCCTGGACATAGAACCCTGCCTCCCTTTCCTCATTAATGAACAACTAGGAGGCTACAATTTTACACTCCATATAGGTCATATTTTCCTTTGTCATAACAAACAAACAAACAAACAAAAAACAAAAAACCAGATGATTTCAGCTCTATATTTCATTCCTATTTATTTTAAAGTCTATCAATCACATGCCCTCATCATGTCTGCAGGTTGTTGGGCAAGCTTGGCTGTCTATAAAATTTTTTACTCTAAACTTTTTGTTTTATGGTGGGGCCTATAACAAGACTAGCAGAGTTTGGGTGGGGGAAGAGCTTGACTAGAAGGTCTAAGATAGTTAACCTAGCTAGCTAGCTAGGTTCTATCTAGTGTTTGCTGTTCATTTGTAGCTAGACCTAAACTAGATTGAGGCCCGTTTGAACAATCAGATTTCATTGCTTACACTTATTACTGTAATTAAATGAAATCTGTAAACAGCTCATCTTTTTGGTAATTAATTAATTTTTTAATTACAAAAGGGTAAATTCACAGTCTTTGTCTAGTAATCATTACTTAGCATTTAAGGGGGTATCTCTTATTTACTAGTCATTTCTGTATTTGATTTTTTAAAACAATTTCCTCATATTTTGAGGAAGTAAGAAATAGGTTCTGAAAATTTAACCCATCAATTTTAAACAGCAGAAGCCAGGATGAAATAAAAAAGAAAAACAAAGGAAAGAAGGAAATTAGAAAAAAGAGTCTTCTATTATATGCACATTGTACATATTGCTAATCTTAATTGTGCAGAGATCTGAGGTCCCCAAGCTTAGGCAAGTCTATTTATCCCATGTACAGTATTAGTTAAAGGCTATGTGTGAACTTTACACATTAAGAGTGTGAGATTTTATCTTTTTTTTTTACCAACCCCCCCCCAAACAAACAAAAACAAAAAAAAAAAACCAAGCCCATTCAGGACAGTCTTAGTTACAAGTTTTTTTCTTAAATGATGCCATTTTGAATATGGAAACATAGTTTGAGTTCTAGAAACAAACAAACAAAAACAAAAAACCAAGCCCATTCAGGACAGTCTTAGTTACAAGTTTTTTTCTTAAATGATGCCATTTTGAATATGGAAACATAGTTTGAGTTCTAGAAATCAGCCCTTGACAGTTGGTCTTGCCTTCTAAGTACAAGAGTTCATTTTAACTAAGGACATTTATATCTGTGTACACTTATGCCAAGTTTGCCAATACTGAGTCATATGCTGTGTATTTTGCAAGTGAGAGAAAGCATCTTAATGTCCTTAATATAGGGGAACAACACTTGAGAAGTTTTAAGACAAAGGGCTGCAGCCATTGCTGGCCATGCTGCCAAGCAGGTACTCCTGAGATTTCACAGGACCTTTGGAATTGTCTATATATTTTACCGAATGGTATACAATATAACATTCATTCCCTCATCAAATATATATTCTTCAATAAATTGGTTGCAATTCAAAAACATTGTGTGAGGGAAGCGTCAGATACACTTGCAAGATGCTGAATTCTGATTCGGGTTTCTTTAGCATGGACCCAGAAACAGTACATACTGACACAGGAGCTGGTGCACAGCCTAATTCCAGAGTCTTATCTGTAAAAGAAACAACTAGAATCCCAATAGATGAGATTCTAAAATGTGAATATTACATTCTGGGGTGATTGGGTCCTGTAAATAAGGAAACATTGGTAATTTTGCTTACTAGGAAAATGGCTTTTTGTGTAGGTTTATTTGCTTAACACTAATGAGCATCCACTGTTTCTTTGGTAGATGCCAACTCAAGTTTTGGTCACTTTTCTTATACTTAGTTCTAATCCTCGCGAGGTCCCTTCTGAAGGAGTTACAGTCTCTAAGGTACCGGATAATTTTTGTCCCTACTAGGAAAGCTTTATGGTGGGAGTGAGAAGAGGGAAGAAATGAGAGGGTATCAGGATAGATATGGTCAAAGAACTGTATTTCTCCACTTGAATGAAACGTCATTACGAGACCCATAGCTGGATACAGAGAGTGCATTCCTGAAAGAGTTAAGATAAAATGTGTTTCAAAGGGTAGAATAAAGAAGAGAAATTAATATGGGGTCATTTCTATCCTGTTGACTTGACACTGTCTTTTATTTAACTACATGAAACTGGTACTGCTGCTGGTGTCCCATGTAGCCACATACCTTCTCTGGGAGATACAAGTTATTGCTATTTAATTCTGTGTTGTCACATTACCCATGTGCCTAACAGAAGGCCACAGTATTGTCATGTAAATAGTTCTCATACTCTGTATCTGTCATGGTTCATAGTCCTACAGAAGGGTCCTTTCCAGTGTTCTCCAGTGCTGTGTCCTATAGCATATCCTTCTCCTGTGACATTATGGTTATCAACCCCACTTGAAAATTCTTAGCCTAGAATTAAGACTTTAAAGCATGTTTTGTTTCCCTGCCACCACATTGCATGCCAATACTTCTTTGTTTAATTTCTTTCAATACAATAAGAATCACATTTCCATTTGAAAACTTGAATCTTCTCATTTCCAGGCATATTAGAGTTTGAATGACTGTTGGAAAATTGGATGCTATGCACATTTCTTAGGATTTTGATTTGTTATGGGATTTCTCTGTGTGTAAATGTGTGTGTCTCTGCAGCTGTTCGTGTTTCTTGTGCTTTTGAATTGGTTCTTTTTATCTTGTTGGTTAGTTTTGTCCTACTCTGTTTTTGTTTGTTATTTTAGTTGACTCTTTTCTAGAAAGACAGAAATAGTAAAAAAAAAGGGTATGGATTTGGGTGGGGAAGGATCTGGGAGGAGTTGGGGGATGTGAAACCATGATCAGAATATATTATACGAAAAAAATCTATCTTCAATAAAAAAGACAAAATATGTCCTTGCCTATAACAAGCTAATTTTCTTGTCTTTAAAACTCCTTATTTCCCCTATCACCATTTCTCAGGAAAATTTCATTCTTTCTGCCACAAAAACTAAAACAGAAGTCATCTTTGTTACTGTGATGGCACTGAGGACTTTGTTTCCTATTACTTCAGTTTGGTTCACATTACCTTGGTCAATGGAATTGATCAACAGGGATGGCCAGAATAATGAATGCTTAAAGCCTTTTCTTTTTAAAAATATATTTTAAAAATGCATTCAGGTGTGTATGTGTGCATCAATGTGGTGGCCCATGTGTGTGCTTGTGGAAGCCCAGGTTGATTTTGGATGCCTTTCACTGACAGCCATCACCACATCTCCTTCAGTATTTTTAAAAAGAAGGATATTAATATAATTAATAAAATATTGAACACAGTGCCTTTTGATAAGTAATAGTGATGATGGTGATTTCAAAACTTCACTGGGACAGGTTCAAGCATGATGGAAACTTGACCTCTACTCCCTCTAGAACATATCTTTTCTATGTTCATTTACTTCCTTCAGTTTACGAGTCTCTGGATTTCTGGCTTGATTGGCATTTCTTCCATGGCATCATTCAGAAACAACTCTGAAGCTCTGATCTCTGAATTCCTTCTCATCTGCTTCCCTAACTACCAGACCTGGCAACACTGGCTCTCCCTACCCCTCAGCCTCCTCTTCCTCCTGGCCATGGGGGCCAATGCCACCCTTCTTATCACTATCCGGATGGAGCCCTCTCTGCATGAGCCCATGTACTACCTGCTCAGCCTCCTCTCCCTGCTGGACATTGTGCTCTGCCTCACTGTCATACCTAAGGTCCTGGCCATCTTCTGGTTTGACAGAAAATCCATCAGCTTCTCTGCCTGCTTCCTCCAGATGTTTGTCATGAACAGTTTCCTGACGATGGAGTCCTGCACCTTTATGGTCATGGCCTATGACCGCTATGTGGCCATCTGCAAGCCTCTGCAGTACCCATCCATCATCACTGACCAGTTTGTGGCTAGGGCTGCCATCTTCATTATAAGCAGGAATGCCTTTTTTTCTCTCCCTGTCCCCATCCTTTCTGCCAGACTGAAATACTGTGCTCAGAATATCATCAAGAACTGCATCTGCACCAACCTGTCTGTGTCCAAACTCTCTTGTGATGACATCACCTTCAATAAACTATACCAGCTTGTAGCAGGTTGGACTCTTCTGGGCTCTGACCTCATCCTCATTGTTCTCTCTTACTCTTTTATCTTCCATGTCGTGCTCCGGATCAAAGCTGAGGGAGCTATAGCCAAGGCCCTGAGTACATGTGGTTCCCACTTCATCCTCATCCTCTTCTTCAGCACAGTCCTACTGGTGCTGGTCATCACTAACCTGGCCAGGGAGAAGATACCCCCGGATGTCCCAATCCTGCTCAACATCCTGCATCACCTCATCCCCCCAGCTCTGAACCCCATTGTGTACGGGGTAAGAACCAAAGAGATCAAGCAGGGAATCCAGAACTTGCTGAGGAGGTTGTAAGAGGTATTCAGAGCTTTTAGAACTGTTAATAAGTACTAGAAATGTAGAAAATCATTTTTATATTGGAAATAAATTAAAACTATAAGTCCTAAGTGACTTTTGACTCTGAGTTTACAAACTTCTTAGGCAGCATGAAAAACATTCACTTACAAATCCCTTTCTTTATTGCTGCTTTAAAGGGAAAATTGCGATGGACAAGATGTAAACAAGTTTTCATGCAGGAAAACATCTGCAGAATTTGTAAAGGACACAGTCCTTTTCTGTCTGACTCATGTGGCAGAGACCTGGCTGAATTTTGTGCTATGAAGGAAGAATTTAGGGAAAACACAGTGGTCTGAGGCGTGTGGTTCTTCATGTGGAATGCTTTATCCTGAACATCTCAACTCAATTCTTGGCAAATATGCCTTTCATTGGCTCCCTAGGTACTTTTCCCCTGTTTTTTTTTTTTTTTATCACTTGTACTCCACCAGCCCATAGCCCATGGTGGTTTTGTTTTATATCATATCTGATCAGAAGAGACTCTGAATTTTGAAATTAAAAAATGCTAATTTTATGTGTGTAATGGTTTTGCCTGCCAGGCTGCCTAGTGTCTGTGGAGGCCATTAAAGGGCATCAAATCCTGCACATAGAATTAAAGATGGTTGTTAAGTCCCACATGGGTGCTGGGAGCTGAACATGGGTCCTGTGAAAGAACCACAACTGAGCTATCTTTCCAGTCCCAGATTTGAAAATTTTCATACAGTTTCTAACACCAGCCTTGTGTATTCATTACCCATCCTGGGTACAAATGAGATCATTTGTCTATCTGTCCTACTGTTTGTGGCTTCAGCCTTGTCTTGAGCAGTGCTTGATAAAGTGTACCCACAGTTTTTCTGTCACGAAAACTCCAGGATTTGTTTTTCATAGTAAAATATCTTCAAATATTTAGAAGTTTTCTCCTAATGACACCAATGGACATGCCTAAGTGGATGGGTAAAAACCAATGAGGCCATACAAAGTACTAAGGCAACTGAGGAAATTTGTGAATGGGAGAGGTGGTCTTTTTCCAGGGAAGAACACATCAATTGGCTGTCCAGTGCCAAACTGGCAGCCCTGAAAATGTACATACAACATTTTACAGATGGGCAGATTATAATTAGGACTATATATTCATATAAAAATGCAATAACATTATTGAAAAATGGTCTGTCAGTTGGAAGGAGAGAATGCAAAGGTATATAGGAGTGTTTGGAGGGAAGCAATGGGGGGAGAAATGTGAAATTACATTAGAATCTCAAAAAGAAAGAGAGAAAAAGAAAAATGTGATTCCTGCCTCGTGTGTTGGATATGCTGACTTCTCTGAGTTGATCATTGTTCAATACACACATAAAACATCCCATTGTTCTTCACAAATATGTACAAATATTGTGTGTCAATTGAAATATAAAATTAGTTAATTGAAATATATATAAATACTGGAGAAAGAGAAGAGAATAAAGTATTGACCTTGTGACAGTGTGATTGTATATGTATGTTGTAGAAACTGTATTTCAGATTTTGAATTATAGTCTTTTCTGGGAAATTAGTGGCATGAAACTCTCTTGTGATATTGGGTGGTGGTAACACTAGATACAGCACTGGCCATCTGATGACCCAGCAAACAATGGACACTACAGAGTATTGAGTGACTAGATAGTGCTATTCAGTGGGTTAGGAGCATGGCATATATAAACGTGTTTGTGTGTGTGTGTGTGTGTGTGTGTGTGTGTGTGTGTGTATATTATATGTGTGTTTGTTTATGACTGAGGAGAGGTGAGGGGATGTCTCTTTGCATCTGGAAAGCCAGAGGTCAATATCAGGTGTCTGCATTTTTCTCTCATTACCTGAATTTTTGAAACAGCACCTCTCACTAAATCTGAAGCTTACAATTTTGGCTAGAATGGATGTTCAGCAAACCCCTATGATTCATCATCCCATTAGCACTAGAGTTGCAGATGCTTGATGCAACCCATGGCTTTTATATGGGCTCTAGGGACCTGAACTCATATATTCAGGCTTGGCATGCATAGCAAGCTGTCTTAATTACTTTTCTATGGCTGTGAAGAGACTCCATGACCAATGCAACTTGTAGAATAAAGAATTTATTCTGGTTTCAATTTTAGAGGGTGAATCTAGGGCCATCATGGTGAGGATCATGGCATCACACAGTCAGGAATGGCATTAGAGTAGAAGCTGAAAGTTTCTATTTGATCCACAAGCAGGAGAAAGACAAATATCCCTATCTATCCATATATCTATCTATAAATATATAATGATAACTGGGAATGGCTTGGGCCTTTTGAAGCCTTTTGAAACCTCAAAACCCACCTTCGGTGACATCCATCCTCCAGTAAGGACACACTCAATCCTTTCCAAACAGTTCTACCAACTAGGAATCAAATATTCAAATCTATAAGACTATGGGGCCTTCTCATTTGAACTACCACAAAACACTTCACGTACTAGCCATCTTTCTAGCTTTTATAGCATATATTTCAAATTTTGAATGGCATTCAGTATAAAACGTGTTCATTTTCATGCAACCACTTTGGAAGTCTGCCTGTCTTACATCCTTATTTAAACAGATTTTTTTCTGAGAGAATAATTCATCTTGAAATAGTTATATTCTTAAGACTAGAATATTTGCTTTCAAATATATATGCTCTCTGTTTAGGATGTCCTATCTCCTTTTGATTCTCTTTCATTCTTTTTCCTTCCCTGGTATCATTCCCATACTGCACTTTGTCTTTTGTGTTTTATCACCTAAGTCCATGAAGAATATGCTGCATGCTCCCAGTTTAGATACCTCAAATGGCCTTACCCTATGTGAGAGTGAAGGAAAAGTGATTAAATGGAACTTAGGGCATGAAAATTCTCTCCAATGACTCCTAGAGGCTGGTTCAATTGGTGCAATCAACTGTCATAAGTACGAACTGTGATGCAACCTCTAGGACAGTGGTTCTCAACTGTGGGTCACAACCCCTTTGTGTGTGTGTGTGTGTGTGTGTGTGTGTGTGTGTGTGTGTGAGAGAAAGACACAATCCTCTCAGGGGTCAAATACCCTTTTACAGGAGTCACCTAAGACCATAAAAAACCACATGTTTACACTATAATTCATAACTATCAAAATTACAGCTATGAAGTAGCAACAGAAATAATTTTACGTTTATTTCATGGGAGTCATCACAACATTAAGAACTGTATTAAAGGTTTGCAGCATAAGGAAGGCTGAGAACCACTGCTCTAGGAGCTGCTAGAACTGGATTAGAATCAAGAATATATGAGGAAGAGATGATGAGGTGTGTGGAGACATAGTGTCATAAACAGGCAGGAGGAGGAATCATTCAAGCAGGATTACTGCAAGCCTAGCATTATAACCTTAGATGCTGGGAACTTTCTGAATCAGGAACACCTGTAATTTATTAGGAGTCTAAGGTTTGTTTTTTAAATAAACTTATAATTTTAATTAAATAATATTATTAATATATTATTTGTTTTAAATGAAAATATAGTTGTGTCATTTCCCCTTGTTGCCTCTCATATTCATGGTCCCTATTTACTTTTCTGGTTTCTGTAGTTACTCCAGAATATATTCTCTCTGAAGATTTGTAGCTAGAAACAAAAGAAGAAAGAGAACATGTGGTATTTGTTTTATTAAATTAATACTTATAAAACGGATGTATTTATGGGAATTTCCCTAGTGCTAGGTTTCTTAGTAATCCCATAATGACTTGCTCTATCAAGGTATCTCTCTCCTTGTTCTCCCTTGCTATCATTCCCCCAACTCAACCTAGGGAATGAACTAGCTTTGTGGAGTGCATTCCCTATGGAGAGATACCTTGCTTAGCCTAGATACAGGGGGAAGGGCCTTGGTCCTGCCTCAAATGATGTAACAGACTTTTCTGATTCCCCATGGGAGGCCTCATCCTCTCTGAGGAGTGGATGGGGGATGGAGTGGGGGCAGGGAGAAGGTGGGGGGAGTGGGAGGATGTGAGGGAGAGAGAACTGGGATTGATATGTAAAATAAGAGTGCTTTAAAATTGAAAACACCCCCAAACAACAACAACAAAACACAGATGTATTGAATTCTTTGTCTTATTATACTAAGCAACAAAAAGCAACCATTTTAAAACACAAAACAACTTTAAAAAAGAAATTCACCATATAAAAACATAAATCTTACTTAAAATATCTTGTTATTCTAAGGATAACTTCCATATAGTACCTACTTCACTTACACATGTCTTAAATAAATGAATAACATCTATGTTACAGTGAATGGTGGTATTTCACATTGTGAATATTTTGGCTGCTTTAAATGACTATTTTTCACACAGGAGCCATTGATCTGCATTTTATTGCATTACCCTAAGATACTCTGAACAGTAAGCCAGGCTAAGACTCACCTTTCTCATTCTAGATAGTGTAGTGTAATCAGTTATTGGATGAAAGCAGGAAAGATGGCATACCCAGAGCTGCCATGTACTTCTCTATTCCTCAGTCCCTCTGTTAGGAGTGGAGAATAGTTGGGGTTGTAAAGAATATTAAGATGAAATGAGAAATACCTATAAACTTAGTGATCCTGATAAATCCCAATAGATTGTTGAACAACATGCTTGGGGTATTCTTTACACAGAGAACCAGGAGCAGGAGAATTCACTGTAGAATGGCTTCTGTCCATACACATCATGCTGGTCAGAAACTCATGGCTCAGTCCTTTGCAGGGGCCTCTGCAACCAGTGATTAGGATGTGCTCAACCTGATGCTTTTATGTAGAACACCCTGAGCACTCGCTGGCGGATCTGTCGAGTCTTCACCCCATAAACAAGAGGATTGAGTGCAGGTGGCACAAGGAGGTAGAGCGTGGCCAGCAGAACATGGACATGATGGGGAACATGATGCCCAAAGCGGTGAGTGAGGAAGGAGAAAATTCCAGGGATATAGAAGATGAGAATAACACAAACGTGAGACCCACATGTACT